CCCCATCCCAAAAGGCTCTGGAGGGGTTGAATTGGAGCCCATTTCAGGGAAAGAACATGCATAGCCATAACCACATAACTTGAACCTACACATTACAATAGTGGTGGAAAGAGGAGCTTAACAGAATCTGTATGACATCAAGCAATCTACACACTCCTTACTGTACAATCCTACATAGGAAACTATCCTTAATATAACTGCAAATAATGAAACATTCTTTGTTTTAATTTCTGTTGTGTAACCGATGATCAAAGTATTGATTGATTACCAGAATGATGGAAAAGGGTATTAATAACTTTGATGTTTTCATTTCTTTTCGGCCTTGGCACTCTTTGCTATAATCGCATATAACACAAGTGTAATGCAAGGAATAAAACATTCTTTGTTTTAATTTCTAAAGTATAAGCAATCAATTGTGGCAAGAGGAGAAAAGCTTTTAAAAAACTTCAATTGATGTTTTGTTTTCACATAATTAATAAAGAGGGCATTGCACGGCACATCGCTCCCTTATGTATTTTTTCTTAAATGTGTCATTTCCGTCCTTGAATTGTGAACATGCCTCCTGCTCGCCTGGCAGAGAGATGTGTGATTGCGGAAAATGTCAGAGGTTTGCAGCAGAGTTCATTCAGTGTGTAATTTAAGGGTTAACTCTGTTATGAGTAAAGTCAGCAAACCGAGATGGTGGTGGTGGAGGCATTGCATTCCTTAGGCCAGCCTATCCAGACATGTAGCTACTGATGTGTTTGAATGTCTTTTCCTGTTAACCTTATTATTCTTTTAAAAAAAATAAATTATTTTCAACTGGTTTCTAATGAATACACACACACACACACACACACACACACACACAGAGAGAGAGAGAGAGAGAGAGACCCCTTAGAGGTTTTACTACAATCAAGAGGTATATAAATTTTGTTGAATAAAAAAAGGAAACAAACCAGGGATGATCTTCAGGGAGGTAGCACCTCGTCTGCTTATCTATACCCCGCCCATCTTGCTGGGTTTCCCCAGCCACTCTGGGAGGCTTCCAACAAAATATTAAAATACAGTAGTCTATTAAACATTAAAAGCTTCCCTAAACAGGGCTGCCTTCAGATGTCTTCTAAGAGTCTGGTAGTTGTTTTTTTCTTTGACATCTGGTGGGCGGGCGTTCCACAGGGTGGTTGCCACTACCTAGAAGGCCCTCTGCCTGGTTCCCTGTAACTTGATTTCTCACAGTGAGGGAGCTGCCAGAAGGCCCTCGGTGCTGGACTTCAGTGTCCGAGTAGAACAATGGGGGTGGAGACGCTCCAGGTATACTGGACCAAGGCTGTTTAGGGCTTTAAATGTCAGCAGCAACTCTTTGAATTCTGCTCAGAAACGTACTGGGAGCCAATGTAGGTCTTTCAAGACCAGTGTTATGTGGTCTCATGGGCCACTCCCAGTCACCAGTCTAGCTGCCGCATTAGTTGTAGTTTCCAGGTCACCTTCAAAGGTAGCCCCACATAGAGCACATTGCAGTAGTCCAAGCGAGAGATAACTAGAGCATGAATCTCTCTGGCAAGACAGTCCATAGGCAGGTAGGGTTTCAGCCTGCATACCAGATGGAGCTGATAAACAGCTGCCCTGGACACAGAATTGACCTGCGCCTCCATGGGCAGCTGTGAGTCCAAAATAACTCCCAGGCTGCGCACCTGGTCCTTCAGGGGCACAGTTACCTCAATCAGGACCAAGGAATCCTTCACACCTGCCTGTCTCCTGTTCCCCCAAAACAGTACTTCTGTCTTGTCAGGATTCAGCCTCAATCTGTTAGCTGCCATCCATCCTCCAACCGCCTCCACACACTCACACAGGACTTTCATCACCTTCACTGGTTCTGATTTGAAAGAGAGGTAGAGCTGGGTATCATCCACATATTGATGAGCACCCACCCCAAACCCCTTGAGGATCTCTCCCAGCGGCTGCATGTAGATGTTGAAAAGCATGTGGGAGAGGACAGAACCCTGAGGCACCACACAAGTGAGAGCCCAGGGGTCTGAACACTCATCCCCCCCCCCACTTTCTGGACACGGCCCAGGAGGAAGGAGCAGAAACACTGTATAACAGTGCCCCCAACTCCCAGCCTCTCTAGACGGTCCAGGAGGATGTTATGGTCGAAGGTGTCAAAAGCCACTGAGAGATCCAGCCTAACTAGGAAACAGCTCTCACCTTTGTCCCTAGCTCGCTGGAGATTATCGACCAGTGCGACCAAGGGAGTTTCAGTCCCATGATGAGGCCTGAATCCAGATTGGAAGGGATCCAAATGGTCTGCTTCTTCCAGGCATGCCCGGAGTTGTTCAGCAACCACTTGCTCAGTCACCTTGCCCAATGATGGAAGATCTGAGACTGGGCTATAGTTGGCCATATTGGCCGCATCTAAAGATGGTTTTTTAAGAAGCGGTTTGATAACTGCCTCTTTCAGCAGGTCTGGGAAGGCTCCCTCACAGAGAGAAGCATTCACCACCCCGTGAAACCCCATCGCCCAGCCCAAAACTTCTATGTCTCTTTCTCCTCAAATTATACACTGCTTTTGTTCTGTTTGCTCAGTAAATTAGGAAATGCTATTTTCCATTGGCAGAGTTTTAATTAATGGTGTGCCAAATCCATCATTTGATTTCTAGAACCTGTTTCTTCCCCTGAAAAAGAAATCAATTTTCCTGCACACAAGAAATTCTTTAGAATTAATTCATAAAGACTTCATTTTTATGAACAACAGCACACCATGGATGGGAAGATGTTCACTTTTGGAGAAGCCACAAGTTGTCTTCAGAAGAACAACCCCCCCCCTCCCCAGGCTTGTTTTAATAGTCAGAAGATTGGTATTTGTCCTGCGGGTGGCAGATGGCACTGTGGTCTAAACCACTGAACCTCTTGGGCTTGCCGACGGAAGGTTGGCAGCTTGAATCTGTGTGACAGGATGAGCTCCCATTGCTCTGTCGCAGCTTCTGCCAACCTACCAGTTTGGCAGAACAAGTAGATAAATAGGTACCACTGCAGTGGGAAGGTAAACGGCCTTTCAGTGCGCTCTGGCTTCCATCACAGTGTTCCGTTGCGCTTCTACTCTGAAGAAAACTATGCATACACACATACATGTACATGTACAAATAGTTTTGTAGTTGAAACATTGAGAAAATTCACCCCAAAACAAGCCTATTAAGTATGGCATACAAATAATAAAAGTTGATGTTGATGTTGTTGTTGTTGTTGTTGTTGTTTTGTTGTTGTTGTTGTTGTTGTTGTTGCTGCTGCTGCTGCTGCTGCTGCTGCTGCTGCTGTTGCTGCTGCTGCTGTTCATTTCGTTACTTTGGAGCCGGTTTCCCAATACATTAAGGTATTCTTGAATCCTTCTGTTTTCTGTGGCATTGGCTACCCCTCCCAGTTTTATGTCATCTGCAAATTTGATGAGAACCCCCTCAATTCCTTCCTCCAAGCTGCTTATATAGACACTGAACTACAATGGGCCCAGGTGATTTCCCAAAACCCTGTGTTGGTTTCCCCTTTCTTCCATTTTTTATACATCCCCCTCTTAAATCTCAGCTTTCCTGTAAGCTCCTTATGCAGCCACACCAGTTTGTTGAGATGCCTTCCACTTTCTTTCTTCTGGGAATTGTCTGCATCTGTGCCTTCAATAGTTAACCTTTAAGAAACTACCATCCATCTTGGACTCCCTTCTCTTTGAGTATTTCTGACCATAATATCTGACCCAGTGCAGTGGTGAGAGAAATGTACCCTGTGTGAGCTCAGAAGGGCACTTTTAATGCCTATGTTCCTGCAAAAGACACAGTGCCTCCAAGAGACAGATATGGGCGATACTAATGTCCTGGACCCACAGCCAACAGAGTACCCAGATTTGAGCTTTTATATTACCGTATTTTTTGCTCTATAAGACTCACTTTTTCCCTCCTAAAAAGTAAGGGGAAATGTGTGTGCGTCTTATGGCGCGAATGCAGGCTGCGCAGCTATCCCAGAAGCCAGAACAGCAAGAGGGATTCAGAATATTTTTTTTCTTGTTTTCCTCCTCCAAAAACTAGGTGCTTCTTATGGTCTGGTGCGTCTTATAGAGTGAAAAATACAGTATTACTTTTAAAACCCCATCTGTCCTTCCACTGGAAACAAAGTTATGAAGCGAAAACCCCTATCAATTCATAAACCTTTTCTTACACCGCCTCACAGAGTAGCCATTTGAATCACCACTCGTTGGCTTTCTGTTTTTTACCAGCAAGAAGTACACTTCTTTCCAGGGGTGGGTTTGTCTGCAATCAGGTACTCCCTAGAAGTGATCTTTTCCAATAAGTGTGGGTGGGTGTAAGAGGATCCCTGCACCCAAATAACAAATGCAAAATGTAATAACTTTGCAATGAGGCTTAGACAAGCCTCCTGCTATACAGGAGCTAAGGACTGGGCACTCAATGAGAACTCACAGTATAGTTAGAAAGTAGGTCTCTTTGTGGATAATGGGGCTTCCTCCCAGGTCTGGGGATAGAGGCTTGCACTGGAACTGGGGAAATAGAGGTTTCTTGTGGCTTTAAGAGTTGTGTGTGTCTGGCAGAAATTCAACAGGTTAGGCTTTTCCTTCTCTGGAAATACAGGGGTTTTTTTTGGGGGGGGGAATGTGAAAATCTTTTTTCACCAAGTATTATACTATCAGTATGGACAGTCATGGATTTAGTTCTGAGTCTGCTACATCGCCTGAAAAATAAGATACAACTTTGAATATCACAGGAAGCAAATGCAAATTCTCTGCAGATCTGTGTCCTCTTCTGAGAGTGTGTTGGAGGGCCCCACCCACATACTGGACCCCAGAATGTTCTGTTACACTCCTGGACAGATATCTTGTAGGTTCACATTCAAGAGACCAAACAAGAGGCTAGAATGCTAAGATTTATTTGCAGTTGCTGAATTCTTCCTGAATTCTGGGCTGCCCATGAAATCTGGATTCAGGGCTTAAGGACTACGGGAGCAGAGTGGAGGTATCAAGCAGTGAAGGTAAGCCATTGAGATCATTTGGTGAACCTGCTGAGCATCTGGGTTGATCCCAATCTGCGCCTCAGTTTTTATTGGCCATAGTAGCTGCCTCTACATCTGTGAGGAGAAAGAAAAGGGCAGGGGATTCATTCCTCTGAGAGGCCAGCTATGATCTTCTTTATGAAGAAGGCAGGAATCACAGAATTTGAGAGCTGAGAGAGACTGGAAGTCATTTAGTCCAGCAACTTGAAACTAAAGTGTCCCCAGCATGTGGCTATCTAAAGGGGCAGACTTTCTCTCACTCCAAAATACCACTCTGTTGGGATTGGGTCCATTCTCCCCCTGTTTTTGCCATCAGGAATTGCCTCCCAGTGTTCTATCCAAATCTACCCTAGTGCAACTTAAGCCTCAAGACCCACTCCTCCCCTCTGGGGCAGCAAAGGATGATTCTTTGCCATCTTCCAATTGACAGCCCTCCATGGATGTAAAGAGTGCTCTCCTCTCTCCCTTCAGTCGTCCCTTCTCCAGCCTAAACCAACTCTGTGGTGTATCCAATGTTAGACCTACTTCAAGTCGGCCCATTGAAATTAAAGAACATGCCTAAGTTAGGTCCATTAATTCCAATGGCTCAGAGTAGAACTTCCTTGAACATAACCTTTCATTGCTATAACCTTTCCTCCTAGGGCATGTTTCTGAGGTCTCTGCTCATCCTCATTGCCCTCCTCCAAAACCCTTCCGGGTTCTCTACTGATTGCCTTCTCATCTTCCTAGAACAACATTCATGCTCTCTAATATCTGAGCAAAAGACATCTAGCAGGTCATTAACGTCCCATCATGGATACTTCCTTGCTAGGGAAGCTACAGCTGCTCAATTCTTGTCCACTGCACCACAGTTAAAAGAACAGGAGCACTTGGGATGAACAGAAAAGTCCATACCAACCTCTTTTACCCGCGCTGACAGTATCTATGTAGCCAATTGAGCTCTGACAACGACATATTTTTCTGCCCTAGAAGTAAAAAGGGATGCGGTTTAACCTCTTGACAATGTATCTCCAGTACATTTTTAAAAACAATTGAACAGCTATTCCACTCTCTCCTATTGCCTCTGAATCCTGGGAATGGTTGTTTGAACAGCAGGATACTTACAGCACTCTCAGAACAGGTAACTGGGCCCGTGCATTCCACGCGTTTGGCCCTTGTGCAGCTCATGAGAGCCAGAAGAGACAGCAAGATCAGAAGATGCTTCATGATGGATGGAGCTGGAACTGGTGCTCGCTTTGGATAGACAGAAAGGAAAAGGGGGGACCATGATTATATTTTTTCTGAACTTTAGAAAACATTCAATAAACATGGAACAACAGAGGCAATGAGAGCAATATCTACAACAACACAGTGTATCTGAAGAAGTGTGCATGCACACGAAAGCTCATACCTAGAACTAACTTAGTTGGTCTTTAAGGTGCTACTGGAAGGAATATTTTTTGTTTTGACAAAAGGTTAATGTCACAGAACATATGAGGAAGTGATTTAGAATAAAACTTAGAGCATATGCCCTAAAAGGCCTCAACCCTATATACCTGAAGGAGTGTCTCCACCCCCATCATTAAGCCCAGACACTGAGGTCCAGCTCCAAGGGATTTCTGGTGGTTCCCTCACTGCGAGAAGCAAAGTAACAGGGAACCAGGCAGAGGGCCTTCTTGATAGTGGCGCCCGCCCTGTGGAATGCCCTCCCATCAGTTGTCAAGGAAATGAACAACTATCTGACTTTTAGAAGGCATCTGAAAGCAGCCCTGTTTAAGGAAGTTTTAATGTTTGATGTTTTATCATGTTTTTAATATTCTGTTAGGAGCCGCACAGAGTGGCTGGGGAAATTATTATTATTATTATTATTATTATTATTATTATTATTATTATTATTCCTTATATATGGGCAGAATGTGGGCTAATTGGCATGTAGTCTGGGCAGGTGAGAAGATTTCAGAAGGAAAGAAACACTTACTTGAGACAGTGTTGGGTTGTGGGCATCCTTTAGGCACTGTTGTCAGACATGGCCTGTGGGTGCTGCCGGTGCCCTTTGGCTTGATGGACACATTGGGGTGTAAGTTGCCCAATGGGGCCATGGTATGACTCTTTGGTTTTTAAACCAAAGGTCCTTGCAGCAGGAAGGAAGGAATCACAGGAAACCTCACTGCATGCACAATATAATAATAATAATTTTTATTTATACCCCCGCCTTCCCCAGCCAAGGCCGGGTTCAGGGCGGCTAATAAGCAATAATAAAAACAAGTTGAATAAATACAACTTAAAAACAAGATTAAAATACATAATAATAATAATAATAATAATAATAATAATTTATTATTTATACCCCGCCCATCTGGCTGAGTTTCCCCAGCCACTCTGGGCGGCTCCCAATCAGTGTTAAAAACAATACAGCGTTACATATTAAAAACTTCCCTGGAGCTTCCGGTCGGCGCCAGCGCTTAATGGCGGTCCTTGCCTCGAGCTCTGAGGCAGGACTGCTCCGTGAGTTCGGGTCTGACCCGCTACGGCGAGCGGGGGACCCCTAAAATCACAGGCGCTGAAGCCTGTGAGCAAGGAGACTCGGTGGGCACCTTTCGCGCCCCCCGGTACTGCAAAAGAGCCTTTTTAAAGGCTCCGGAGCGGCATCGGGAGTGAGCGCGGTGCTGAGAGTCGTAACCCAGCCTGCGGAGTGAAGCCGCGTCGCCATTGAGCGGAGAGCGCCGATTCCTTCCTGAAACTACAATTGGAATACAAAACCCGTGAGTAAGATTGACAGAAGGGAACGGGACATTTAAACTGATTTTAAGAAATTCGGCTGAAAGCGGGAAAGGCATTAAATAAGGAAGTCTGCCTCCCCGGACTGCATGTTAACTAGAGCAACGAAAGAGCAAGCTGCATTTAAATGAAGGTTAACTTCTAAACTGTCAAAACCAGACATCGGAATTAAACTTCCCCCCAACGAGCAGGAGAGGGGGGGAAGGAAATTTGGACATTATAAACCTGCGGGAAATAAATAGAGGGAAAAGATCTTCCGCTGTTAAAACCCTGAGACGGGCTGCCGAAGCAAGGCACCAGGAAAGTGAGCTGTCAAGTCAAACTGGATACAAAGTTAGGGTTTTGGCTGAAACAAAGTTAGGAGACTTTAATGGAGTTACTTTGTTTGAACTTTTGAGGATATTGAAACTGTAATAAGAACTTTAACTGTGGACCTTTGGACTCTTTGTTTCCTGCCTTATGTTTTTCTGACTGTCTCTCTCTTTAACTGGATACAATTAAATGCTCCCTCTAGAGGACTTTAGAGAAATTTGTCACAGTAAGAGAAAAGAGTGGTTTTTTCCACTTGTAAACTTTTCCTGTGAGAACTGACCTTGAGGATATGAGTGGCCAACCAGAAGAGATAACAACCAGGGCAAAAGCGAAACAAATTCAGCAAGCGCAAAAGAAAAGGGGTTCGATGCAAGGCATAACACCAGCTGGACAGGAAAAAGTACCAGCTGCATCTATGGAGTCAATGACACAGGCACTGCTGAAAATAAACCAGTCTTTGGAAGCATTGACAAAGCAGTCAGCGGAGAATACAAAAAAACTGAATAATTTGACAACAAGATTGGACTTGAACACGGCAAGTATAGCTTCTAATACAGAATCTATAAATAAATTGATCCAGGAAAATTCTGAAACAAGCAAAATTGCCCAAAGTGCAAAAGGGATTGCAGATGAGACAAAGAGGGAGCTTGCACCGATTGCAAAAAAGGTGAATGAACATGATGCAACTTTAGCTCTGTGGGAACTTCAGAGAAAAGAGAAGAACCTGAAATTAAAGTCAGTTCCAGAGGGTGAGAAGGACAGTCTAGTGGAATTTCTCACAGAAAAAATTTCGGAATTTTGGCAGGACGAGCTAGAGGAGCAAGAATTTGAAATAACAACGGCCTTCCGGTTGGGCAGAAGACAAGGTAAAAAGCCTAGGGATTGTCTGATTACATTGAGATCTAAAGGAGAAAGGGACAAAATACTGGACTTACATTATCACAAGGCTCTGGAAATCCAGAATTGTCAAGTTCAGATCTTTAAAGACATCCCTAAATATATCTTGGAGGTGAGGGCCTTCTACAAAGATTTGGTTTACCTGCTGAAGAAGAACAACATACTTTTCAGGTGGGAATTCCCACAAGGATTGTCTTTTAACTACACAGGAAAGAAGATTAAAATAAAAACAGTTCAAGATAAAGAACTGTTTTTGGAAAGATACCAGGAGGGCCTCCAGAAAGGAGTGATAGAAACAACAGGAGACAAAGAACCGACAGATATTGCAAATCTTTCATTTGGACTACCACCGTCAGAGGAAGAACAAAAACTTGGAGCAGTTGGAGGAATAGGCACATAGTAACACAATGTCTCTGCAACTTCTTAGCTGGAATTGTAATGGACTTAACCTTCCCAGAAAAAGACGCCAAGTTTTTCACATTTTGAAGAGAGAGCAACTGGATTTGATATGTCTACAGGAAACGCATGTGACCAGGATACACAGGAAATTACTTGTAAACAAGAGACTAGGACAAGAATTTATCTCATCAGATAAGGTCAAAAAAAGAGGCGTAGTGATCTATGCAAAAGAAAAATTGGCCCCTAAAATGATATTTAAAGACGAACAAGGAAGATATTTGGCAATAGAAATACAAATCCAAGGAGAAAAAATTATGATATTGGGAATATATGCACCAAATGAAGGGAAGGCGGAATTTTTCAAGAAGTTGCATGAGATTTTAATGGATTATATGGACTTTAAAATTATAATGATGGGGGACATGAATGGTGTTGTCTCCACTAATATGGACAAGGCACAGAAACAAACAATCTCTAAAGACGGAAGACTACCAAAGACCTTTTTTGAAATGACGGAAACGCTGGACTTGATTGACATTTGGAGAGTAAGGAATCCTCTGGAGAGAGAGGGAACTTTTTTCTCTGAAGCAAAAATGACATGGACAAGGATTGACCAAATTTGGGTAACTAGTAGCATGGCACCAAAGGTTAAAAAAGTAGAAATCTGCCCAAAGACTTGCTCCGACCATAATGCTGTGAAGATGGAGATGAAATTAACAACAATTGGAACTTTCAGATGGAGGATGAATGATGCCCTATTTAGAGATGAGGAGATTTATAAGAAGGCCCAAAAAGCTTTGAAAGATTACTTCGAGATAAATTTGAGAACAGATGTGGAGAAAAGAATAATATGGGACGCAAGCAAGGCCGTGATGCGAGGTTTCCTAATACAACAAAATTCCATAAAGAGGAAAAAGCAAAATGAGAGGAAAGAAAAAATCTTGGAAAAAATAAAAGAAGGTGAAAAGAAATTGAGGTCCAAACCTAAGTCTCACGAGATCCTGAGAGAAATAAAGTACTATCAGACGCAATATATGGAATTGATGAATCAAGAGATAGAATGGAAAATAAAGCAAATGAGACAAAGAACATTTGAATCGGCAGACAAATGTGGGAAACTTCTGTCATGGCAATTGAAAAAGAGACAAAAACTGAACACAGTGACAAGTTTGGAAATGGATGGAAAAATCATCCACAAACCAAATGAGATAAGTAATTGCTTTCAAAGTTTCTTCAGGAAATTATATGCACAAGGGCCTGTTGATGTGCAGGAAATAGAAGAATTTATTAAGAAGCATGGACTACTAAAGATCTCAGATCAAAGTAGAATGATTTTGAATGAGAAAATAACAATAAATAATAATAAGAAATAGAGGGTGCCATTCAGAATATGCAGTTGGGAAAATCTCCAGGACCAGATGGCCTAACGGCTAGATATTATAAGGCATTGAAGGAATGGATAATACAACCACTGAAGGAGGTTTGCAATGAAATTTTAGAAGGGAAAAAGGCACCTGAATCGTGGAAAGAAGCTTTTATTTCACTTATACCGAAAACAGAGACTGAAAAGAACCAGGTTAAAAACTACCGCCCAATTTCATTACTAAATGTGGATTACAAAATTTTTGCAGACATTTTAGCAAAAAGACTGAAAAGAGTGCTGATAGGGGAGATTCATAAGGACCAAACAGGCTTTCTCCCAGGGAGACACATGTCGGACAATGTGAGGAACATTATAGACATTTTGGAATTACTGGAGGTGAACATTAATAGAAAGGCGGTTCTGATTTTTGTGGATGCGGAGAAAGCCTTTGATAATATTTGTTGGACCTTTATGAAGAAGAATCTCCAAGGGATGGGGGTAGGACAAGGTTTTGAAAACGGTATAGGTGCTATATATTCTAAGCAAAAAGCAAAGCTGATTGTGAACAATGTGGTTACGGAAGAAATATCTATAGAAAAGGGCACACGACAGGGGTGCCCAATATCCCCTTTACTTTTTATAACAGTCCTGGAGGTTTTGTTAAACATGATTAGAGGGGACCAATTGGTTAAAGGAGTTCAGGTCGGAGCGAGAGACTACAAACTAAGGGCATTTGCAGATGACCTTGTACTGACTTTGCAACAGCCAGATACTAGTACTAAAAGAGTATTAGAACTAATTGAGACATTTGGTCAAGTAGCAGGATTCAAACTGAATAAGCAGAAAACTAAGGTGTTGGAGAAAAATTTAACAATGGCAGAAAAAGAGAAATTTCAGAGGGAAACAGGTTTAGAAATAACAAAAAAAGTGAAGTACCTGGGTGTGAACTTGACTTCTAAAAATGTGAATTTATTTAAAGACAATTATGACAAATGCTGGAATGAGGTGAAGAAAGATCTAGAAATATGGTCACGACTGAGACTTTCCTTGTTAGGCCGAATTGCTGTCATCAAGATGAATGTATTGCCTAGAATGTTGTTTTTGTTTCAGACACTTCAGATCATAGATAAAATGGACTGTTTCAAGAAGTGGCAAAAAGACATATCAAAATTTATCTGGCAGGGCAAAAAGCCCAGAATAAACTTTAAGATCTTAACTGATGCAAAAGATAGAGGGGGGTTTGCCCTGCCGGACTTGAGACTCTACTATGAATCGGCAGCGTTTTGCTGGCTGAAACAATGGCTGCTTCTTGAGAATACAGACATTTTGGATCTGGAAGGGTATGACAATAGATTTGGTTGGCATGCATATATATGGTATGACAAGGTAAAAATACACAAAGGTTTTAAAAACCATATTGTTAGGAAAGCACTATATAATGTTTGGATAAGATATAAAGATCTACTGGAAAGTAAAACTCCCAGGTGGCTATCACCAATGGAAGCCAAAGAGACGAAAAAACTTAACATGGAGTCCAAATGGCCAAAATATGGTGAAATCTTAGAGCAAGATGGTGAAAGGCTCAAATTACAGAGTTATGATAAATTAAAGTCTAAAGTACGAGATTGGTTGCATTACCTTCAGATAAACGAGGTATTCAAACAGGACAGGAAAATAGGTTTTCAGATGGAGAGGTCGAAATTAGAAACAGAATTGTTAGAACCCAATACTAAGAACTTGTCAAGAATGTATAATTTGCTGCTGAAATGGAACACACAAGATGAAACAGTAAAATCAGCTATGATTAAATGGGCACAAGACATAGGCCATAATATTATGTTTGAAGACTGGGAAAGGTTGTGGAATACTGGTGTCAGATTTACGGCCTGTAATGTTTTGAGAGAAAATATAATGAAAATGATTTATAGATGGTATATGACCCCAGTCAAACTTGCAAAAATTTACCACTTGCCCAATAATAAATGTTGGAAATGTAATGAAACTGAAGGTACTTTCTATCACCTTTGGTGGACCTGCCCGAGGATTAAGGCCTACTGGGAAATGATCTATAATGAAATCAAAAAGGTCCTTAAATGGACATTTCCTAAAAAACCAGAGGCTTTTCTCCTGGGCATGGTGGGCCAATTGGTGTCAAGGAAGGACAGAACTTTTTTTATGTATGCTACCACAGCAGCAAGGATTCTTCTGGCAAAGTATTGGAAGACGCAGCAGCTACCCACTCTGGAAGAATGGCAAGCGAAGGTGATTGACTATATGGGAATGGCTGAGATGACCGGCAGAATCCGTGACCAGGGGAAAGAGACAGTGGAAGAAGATTGGAAGAAATTTAAAGTATATCTTAAAAACTGTTGTAAAATTGAAGAGTGCTGAGATGTTATGGTGTTAAAAAATAGAGAATTGCAGTGGTACATCATAAATTTAAAGGAGCTATAATGAAGATGAATTAATAATGAAATGAAGGGTTGCTGTTAAAAGGGAAAAATAAGGATGCAGAAAAAGGGAGGTATGGGGAAGTCTGGGAAACAAGGTGAAGGAGAATGAGTTTATGAAATGGTAAATGTTTATTTGTGTGTATGTTCTGTTTTGTTTTGTTGTTTGTTTATACTATATGTTTGGAAAACTAATAAATTTTTTTTAAAAAAAAATAAAAAAAAATAAAAACTTCCCTGAACAGGGCTGCCTTAAGATGTCTTCTGAATATCAGGTAATTATTTATCTCTTTGACATCAAATGGGAGGGCGTTCCACAGGGCGGGCGCCACTACCGAGAAGGCCCTCTGTGTGGTTCCCTGTAGCCTCACTTCTCGCAATGAGGGAACCGCCAGAAGGCCCTCGGCGTTGGATCTCAGTGTCCGGGCTGAATGATGGGGGTGGAGACGCTCCTTCAGGTATACAGGACCAAGGCCGTTTAGGGCTTTAAAGGTCAGCACCAACACTTTGAATCGTGCTCGGAAACGTACTGGGAGCCAATGCAGGTCTCTCAGAACCGGTGTTCTGAGAGGGGGAGGGAATCAAATTGACTCCAATCCAAAGGCCAGGTGGAACAACTCTGTCTTACAGGCCCCTGCGGAAAGAAATCAGATCCTGCAGGGCCCTGGTCTCATGAGACAGAGCGTTTCACCAGGCTGGAGCCAGTGTTGGGAAAGCCCTGGCTCTGGTTGAGGCTAATTTAACTTCCTTAGGGCCTGGGACCTCTAGGGTGTTGCTATTTATGGACCTTAAGGTCCTCCGTGGGAGAGGCAGTATGTGCTGTGTGACCCCCATCTATTAATGGACATCTGCCCGGACTTTATTAGATTTGTTTACATTGGTTGAATCTGACTAACTAGTTTGTTTTGCAGATCCTCAAGTTGTTATATTTATTAAATATTACCAATTTATCCACCTGTGGTTGTCTTGACCCCTCTTCCTGGTGTTCTGGCAAGTGTCCTTGATGCTGTCTCTAAGCTGTCCCTCCAAACCCGAATAGGAACATCTCCCCACCTCCCTGAGAAAGAGGGTTCTCTTTGTTTCTGCCTTGTTCTCAGGAACATAGAGTTTCTTCACTGAAATAATTAAGTGATGAACAGTCCCCAAGCGACTGCCCCCCCCCCACCTTGCCCTGCTTACAAGGGGAATGTAAGGCAGGAGATTGGAGGAAGTAAAGGAAAACGAAAAGGCTGCAGAGTGCAGACCACCACTTTGATTTAAATACCATTGACTCCACAGAACACATGGAAGCTGTTAATAATGGACCATCTAAAACCATTCGTTAAAAAGGATCAAGAAAAGCAAACTTTAAAAAGATGCTTGCATATATTTAAATAGAAATATAACATTTAAAGACAATTATATATAAAGTCGCACATTAAAATCCTTTGCAGAATTAAAGTAAGGACACTCGCAAACACCCCTTCGGTGCCCTAGAATCCTGGAGTTTTTGACCAACATTTTCTCTTCCCTTTGATCATTTTTAACTGCAATTTCATTCCCCAGATATTTCTGGGTAATAGTCAGAACAGCACTGAGCTTGATCTAACTGCTGCAGTCAAGAAGAAAATGATGTTCTTACCAAGCTAGTGGTCTTTGTCTCCAGGAATGAGAAGACGTTCGCTCTTGGAGAAGCCAACCGAAGTCCTGTGCAGAAGAACCCACATTGGGCTGGTTTAAATAGCCAAGTGGTCTGATTTGTGGGTATGATTTGTTGTCTTGTGTTCCTGGACTAAGACCAAGTGTCATTTGGGAGGACAATTAGCCATCTTGTGCTGACATGGAGAACAGTGTGCTCCTTCCCAAGGCAGAGTGGTCTTTCCTCTGTTCTCTTCCTTGACTGTTCCTCCGGTTCATTCTGTTCTGCATCGTACCCTTCCTGAATTTCACAATTTCTTATATCCATGCCTGAATCGCATAATCCACAACTCCCCCGTCATTTTCTTCTCCCCGCTCCACCTCACAAATACCAATTTGTGCACTGGAGAAAGACCTCCATAAGAATACATATGTTGGACCCACTGAAGTTACCCACAATTTTTTAAAAAAAGTTTTGGAGCATTATGAGAGTCCAGTCCTGTAGTCACTAACGGAATGATTCCCAAAGTGGACAGTACTGCTCACTGAAGGGCAGTGGGAATAGCTAGTGCAGGTTCAGCTACAAAGAAGTGTTGTAGGCACAAAGGCTTTTCATAGAGTGGGGGACACTGGGTATGTGTTTAGGGAATGAAGCCAACAGTGGGTGCCCCCGCCCCAAAGTTTGGGAACCTCTGCACTAAGTCATGAGCTGTGTGGCAGCTTTTCAGATCCCAATGAGACCTTTGATGCTTAAAGTAAAGTGGCCCCTGCCTGACCATTAGGTCCAGTTGTGACCGACTCTGGGGTTGCGGCGCTCATCTCGCTTTATTGACCGAGGGAGCCTGCGTTTATCCACAGACAGCTTCCGGGTCATGTGGCCAGCATGCCTAAGCCGCTTCTGGTGAACCAGAGCAGCACATGGAAATGCTGCTTACCTTCCCACTGGAGTGATACCTATTTATCTACTTGCACTTTGTGCTTTCGAACTGCTAGGTTGGCAGGAGCTGGGACCAAACAACAGGAGCTCACCCCGTTGCGGGGATTCGAACGGCCAACCTTCTGATTGGCAAGTCCTAGGCTCTGTGGTTTAACCCACAGCGCCACCCGCGTCCCTTTGACGCTTATCACCTCATTATTGCTCCAACTTCCTGGCTGTACAACGACTTTTGAAAAGAGGAATATACCTTCCCCTGTGTATTTAAGAGGTGCATTAATGTTTCAACGGTACCATTAATAGGTTCAGTAACCCATTAGTAGGGAGAACATGGACGTTGCATGATGAGCTTGGTTGTTTACTGGTGTGGGCTGATCAGCACACTGACACATGCAATGGACCAAGCCTGGTTTATTATGTCTGTACCACTGAGCCTAGGACTTTCCGATCAGAAGGTCAGCGGTTCAAATCCCTGCAATGGGGTGAGCTCCCGTTGCTCGGTCCCAGCTCCTACCAACCTAGCAGTTTGAAAGCACGTCAAAGTGCAAGTAGATAAATAGGTACTGCTCCAGTGGGAAGGTAAACGGCGTTTCCGTGCACTGCTCTGGTTTCACCAGAAGCGGCTTAGTCCTGCTGACCACATGACCCGAAAACTGTCTGTGGACAAATGGCCAGTAAACTTGGCCAGTAAAGCGAGATGAGTGCCGCAACCCCAGAGTCATTCGCGACTGGACTTAACTGTCAGGGGTCCTTTACCTTAACATCCACATTACAATGTTGCCCTGAGTAGGACTTGAGCTGAGATTACTCTGAAGTCCTCAGTATCCCTATTCCTCCACTATCTTGGCTTGAGGACATGACCCTACCCTCATCCCCAGACTCTGGATATGACTTTCTCCCCCAGTTCCTAGCCCACTCTCTATTTCCTGCATGCTAGCCCACTTGATATCCTTCCGTCTTATTGCCATATTCTTGAAAAGAAGATGCAGAGATGAACAAGCAGCTGGGCTTGGAGAAATGTGGTGGAAATAGTCCCCTCACCCCAGGACTGAAAGATTCTTTGGAGCAGTTTTAGGAGGCTCCAATCCCATATCCGCTTGCCAGGATCAGGGATTGAGCACCATGGGAATCAGCAGGGCTTGCTTCTGTAACAGTTAATGTGGCATAAACCCACTTCTGTCCCTAAATGCTTGTTGTATCCACCTCTGAGACACTAAGCAGTGCATCTGTGATGCCAACTGAAAAGTCCCAGAGCCTGCTTTTCATTCTGGGACCCTTTTAAATGTGCCAGTGTTGGACGGATGGGATTCCATGACTGAGAAGCAGATCCCTGTCCATTTTAGATGTTTCATTTGCCCCAAGGGCTGGTGTATTGCAGATAATAGACCAGACATGCAGACAGAAAATGCAATCATTTGGGGGGAAACACAGGTTCCCTGGAGCACACACACGTGGTCTGTCTCCTGATGAAGACAGAAAAGTCTTCATTACGGTCTTGGCCTTTAAAATTAGTTTTAATTTGTTGAAAGCTGCTGTGAGTTGCTAGGGCAACCCAGTCAGATGGGTGGCATATAAAATTATTATTATTATTATTATTATTATTATTATTATTATTATTAGTCAGGCTCATGGAATTCTCTCCCTCTCCCAATGGCACCCGGAAGCAGGGAGTAACAAGAAAGTTCTTACTTCTGATTTTATTCAGTCATCACGGTGAAAAACAAGGAAATGCGGTCATTCCTCAATGGTGGCGTTGCTCACACTGAGCTCCTCCCTCTTCCCCTCTAGCAACAACTACTTCTACGGCATCTGCCCATGGACAACTATCTCTGTGCCCTTTGTTCTTTTTTTAAAAAAATTTAATTTATAAAATTTTCAAATTTAACAATTAAAAAAAAACCCCATTCCATTTGAATTATACATCCAATTCTAATCTTTCCACTTTCAGACTTCCTTCAGTCTATCTGAAAATTTTCATGTTATCACAGTTATTCACATTTCTTGCATCTATATGGTTTGTTTTGTTTTTAACCAAATTAATCTTAACAATTATTATAAAACAATATTTCTTTCCATTATTATCACAGAGCTTCTTGAAAACCTACAAACGTTAATTGACCATCACATATATTCTTAATATACTCTGTAAATTTATTCCAGTCCTCGGTAAATCTCTGGTTTCGCCGGTTCCAAATTCTCCCCGTTAGCTTGTCTAGTTCTGCGTATTCCATCAACTTCATTCTCCATTCTTCTTTTGTCGGGATTTCTTCCTGTTTCTATTTTTGTGCCACCAAAATTCTTGCCGCTGTTACTGCATATAAAAACAACTTCTCATCCTTCTTTTTTATGTCATTTCTTAGTATTCCTAACAGAAAATTCCTAACAGAGAATGAAAAAGACATTAAGGGAATTGATACACAAGGACCAAACAGGATTCCTGCCAGGGAGGCAGATGAAAGATAACATAAGAAACATAATAAATATAATAGAATACCTGACTAATAAGAAAGATAAGCAAGCAATGTTGATATTTGTTGATGCGGAAAAGGCATTTGATAATATTTCTTGGGGATTTATGTTAAAGAATCTAGAATTTATGGAGATGGGTCATTCATTTGTAAATGGTGTAAAGGCAATATACTCTGAACAAAGAGCAAAATTAATTGTTAATAATGTACTGACAGACGATATTGCTATAACCAAGGGTACAAGACAAGGGTGTCCCTTATCACCATTGTTATTCATATCGGTCCTGGAAGTCTTGTTGAGAGCGTTAAGAAGTAATGATTTGATAAAAGGTGTGACAGTTGGTTGTAAGGAATATAAGGTAAAAGCCTTCGCTGATGATTTGGTTATAACAATAGAAGACCCTATTAAAAGTATTAGTGAAGTGTTAGAAGAGATAGAGCAATTTGGACAAGTTGCCGGATTCAAATTAAATAAGAGCAAAATGAAAATAATGGTTAAAAATATGGACCAAGAGATAATAGAAAGAATTCAGCAACAAACAGATATGGAAGTGGTTAAGAAAGTTAAATATCTTGGGATTATATTAACTCCCAAGTGTATCGATCTTTTTCAAAATAATTATGTACCAGTCTGGAACAAAATTAGGAAGGACCTGGAAGTGTGGGGAAGAATGAAGTTGTCATTTTGGGGAAGAATTGCAACAGTAAAAATGAATGTGCTACCAAAAATGTTGTTTTTATTTCAATCAATACCAATAATTAAAGGTGTTACGATATTTAAAGAATGGCAAAGAGCATTATCAAGATATGTCTGGCAGGGCAAGAAACCTAGAATAAAATTTAAGATTTTAACGGATGCAAAAGATAGAGGAGGCTTTGCTCTGCCAGACCTAAAGTTATATTTTGAGGCTGCATGTCTTTGCTGGGTGAAAGAATGGATAAAGTTGGAAAATTCAGAACTTTTGGATTTAGAAGGATATGTTAATAGATTTGGTTGGCACGCACATTTATGGTATGAGAAAAAAAGAGTGCATAAAGGTTTTGAAAACCACATTTTCCGAGGTCTGCTGATTGAAGTATGGAATAGGTGCAAAAATTTATTAGAGTTTAAAACTCCATTTTGGCTGTCGCCACTGGAGGTAATGAGTGTCAAGAAGATCAATATGACGGGGAGTTGGATTACATATGAGAATTTAATTATAAAAGAAGGAAATAAATGGAAACTGAAGCCATATGATGAAGTTAAAGAATATGTGTTTGATTGGTTACACTATTTCCAACTGAATGCGATGTTTAAAAAAGAGATGCTGGAAAGAGGTTTTCAAGATGAAAAATCTAGATTTCAAAAAGAAATTGTGAATAATGATGTTAAAATTTTATCAAAAATGTATAAATTATTACTTGAGTGGCATACTAAGGATGAAGAGGTTAAAGTTGCAATGATTCAGTGGGCCAAAGACTTTGGGTATAATATTCAATTTGATGATTGGATAAGATTGTGGAAAGAAGGAATGAAATTTACTGCATGTACTACAATAAAAGAAAATGTTATGAAAATGTTATATAGATGGTATGTTACACCAGTAAAACTTGGAAAGATGTATAAAGTGAGTAATAAATGTTGGAAATGTCAGGAGAAAGAAGGAACATTCTACCATATGTGGTGGGAATGTAAAAAAATGAAAGGTTTCTGGGAAATGATTTATAATGAATTGAAAAAAATGTTGAAATATACCTTTGCTAAAAAACCAGAAACTTTTCTGTGCCCTTTGTTCTTGCACCCTTAACAAACGCAGCGTTTTGTAAGAAGGAGGGTCAGTTATGCTGTCC